GCAAACACAAGGATCGAAAAAGTCGTTACCGGGCTTTGCCATTAGTGCCTTACCTCGGCTACAGTTACTAAATAACTAAAGCTGATAAAAACCGAGTGACAAGAAAAGATTTTCAATCGCACTTACCAAGATGTTGACAATGTGGCTGATCCCTTTAAAATGAAACAATAAAAATAACGAATTACAGTCGGGACGTTTCTCAACCTTCCGAACTTCCGGCCTCTCTGTGTTTTGGGTATCCAGATCCCTTGTGTTTAAGGTTACTCCCTTCCCCCCTCTAGGCTAATCGAAATAAAAACGAAAAGTTTCAATTGCATAATTTTTGTGTGTGCGTGTTTGTATGCCCGTCTATCGCGTCCTATTTGGGTCGAAATTTTGAACAGGTAGTGATCATATGATAAAATGCTTATTGACGTGAGTTTGGTTTGGCTCTCGTTCATGAAGCAAGGACTTCGCTGCGCTCGGTCCGTAGGTCATGACCCCGAGCCAAGTATTAGTTCCCGCCCGGCCCTTCCACTCAATCAATAAGTACACAATTTTTATCACTAATGATGTGATGGAACATGAAAAGTGTTCTTCTCTTTTATTCTTTCTTAATAGGGACGTCAGGTTTATGTGTTGACCCCTTTGAAAGATTTGATTTTCAACACAAGATCGATCACAGTACAACCTAAGTTTCTTTCTTTAAACGGTAAGCTATATGTGCGTGATAATCGAATCCCTGTATTCGTGAACTTTTCACTTTCTAGCGGGTATGATTTGCATGATCGAAGCCAAAAATGCTAAAAAAAACTAAGTGACTGTATTTGGTTTGGCACGTCACACTTTACTAGAGATGAAAAATAAATCATTTTACCCTGTTTAATGTGAAACGTCAGGCCTAAGTGTTCATCCCTTCTGGAACGCTTTGATTTGCATGCATCACGAAATCGATCAGATCGAGAGTGCAAATAAAGCATCTGTCTTTAAAGGGTGTGCTATCTGTGCGTGAAAACTGGCCCGTTGTACTCATGAACTTTTGATTTTCTTGCGAGTGTGATTTGCATGATCGAAGACAAAAATAGTAACTGTTATAACGCATGCAAAAACGGACGGAATGGATCGGGAATTTGCTCGAGAATAACTACATCACCTGTCTTAGCTTTGAATACAGTGACCGAAGTATGGCAACTAGCAAATGACATCTGGGAGAGGAGTTAGCTTGCCTTTTAGTAATAAACAATATTCAAGAGGAGAGAGGTGGGGGAAATGGACTGCACTACAGTTACTTTGTAGGATCCGTGCATCCAGAAGACACTTTCCTAAAAAACTCGCAATGGCATTTCCCGCTGCTTTTACCTTTTCGTTTCGCATTTTGTAATAAACTTTCTCGACATAAATCTTACTGACCATCTTTGAATGAAGAGTTCATTTTTCAAAGCTCAGTATTTGCAAATTCTTACGTTAAAGATTCAACTTTTGTTCATGGTAATAACAAACTACTGAGGATGGGCCGATACCGATACCACCAGTGAGTCTACGTTGCCTTAGGCACCGTTGACTCGAAAATTCGAAACAAGCGATACCGAGGTCTACTTGGAAAATATCGGTACTAGCAAAAAACATCGATGCTTTCGATACTGCACGGGATTTGCCCGCGCTTTCTCACCCCAGTGACCAACCACTGACAAGGAGCCCTGTCCTGTATTCAGGAGGGTCTACCAAAATCGTGGTATCATTTAATGATTGTGTACTGTTTTATTATTGTAGTTGATGACTAGAATACGGTATCACTTCGTCCAGTTTAATAAATTTGTTATGGAGTTTACACTTGACCCTGTGGCTCACATTCCATTAAATCACTTTGATAAACGCGTTGATAAATCAGTCGATTGATTTATTGAGTGATTTGGCTGATTAACTGACTGAATTAGAAAATCAGTCCGTGGGAGACAAGAAAAACCGCTGTGGGTACATGTAACTGCCTCAGATTCGAGTAAGAATTCCTCGCCAACATTTGAATCAACTTCCGACAGCTACCTATTGCACTGTATATCTTTTCCACCGGGAAGTATTGGTTATCCTTTCATACTGATAGATCAAGGCAAAACTCGACCCCAGGCTTTCCGAACTTCAGTCCCCAATCTTGACACAAAGTGATCTGATCAATACAAGGTCATTGAGTCCTCGAAAAGTCTTGCCAAGTCCTCTTCCCCTGGGGCCCCGGCAGGGGCAAGTTTTGTCACTCGATGCTGAGGCAATGTTCCCTTGACAAGCGCTGGAATATCTTCAGAATTATACCCGAGGGCTGCAAGCCCGTTATCTACCCCTGTGCTGTACATGAAATCACGGAGCGTGTCAGAGAGAAGTAAACCGGCGTCTGCTAGCTTTGCGTTAGATATGTCTGCGCCTTAATGAGAAAAAAAAGGTGTCAGGATAAGTAAGTTTGCGAAGAGGATGGCGGGAATGGACCACAGCATAAGCAAAACGAGATAGAAGATGAAAACAGTTCGCAAGAAATATTAATCAAACAGCAGAATTACCCAACAAAAACTCTAAGATATTCGAAAAAAATAGTTCCTCTAGCAGCGGCAGGAAAATGCTTCTCGTACTGTGGATTGAAGTCAGTGGTGAAAAACCAATGCAGTCCTGTTTTCAACCTTTCACACGCTACCCCATCGCCGATATAGCTTGCCTTATTAGAATCAATATCAGTATCTGAGTAATTGCGCGCCTAACCCTTGTTATCAGTTGGGTGACTGGTTTTGGGTTGGGGAAGGAGTGCAGTTACTAAAATACTGACATTGATTCCCTTTTACAAGTACAACGTTTTTAATTTAAGAGAACTTATTGAATGACATCATTTAACTTACCGAGAATCTGCGCAGCCTCCAAATGTCTCTCGGGACAAGAGGGTGCAGTGAAGCGGAACACTGCTGGTGACGTCATTATTACGGACAAACCATGAGGCTGACGAATAAAAACATAACGCACACAGCAATAAATGTGTTATTTCCTTCTAAAATATCAATCCCTTTCAATGCAGATTTGGGAAGAGTATCGTGAAAATTATCACCTGATGATGAAAGCTTTGAAAATGCAATTTCGAGGTTGAGTTGCAAGATAGCGAAACTGTGTGTTGTGTTCGCAACAAAATAAATTTTTTACTCACCACAAGAGGATGATCGACCCCATAATCTTTGGCTTTGTAAGACTTGACGAGGCCGGATATAGGATATGACATTCCATGACTGCGCAAAGGGGCAAAACACCTTAATTATTTTTCCTCCTCATTTCGAATTTTAAAATCAGGAAGTTGGATACCTAGCGACTACAGATCAACTAAAGACGTGATCTTCGCAAGTGGACTGCACTTAATGAAAATGCAAGAAAGAAGCCAGAAAACAAAAAATTCAGGCTTTGACGGGATTCGAACTCGTGCGACTACCACCTGAGCTACGAAGCCATCTTGTTGGCAGCGAGGCAAACTTTGGTGGTTTCTTCGTTCCCGTAGAAGAACGAACATTAGTAATTTTGAATCGAGGTGAAGTGGAAAAGTTGCGCATATTTACCGAGCCGCGTAACGAGACACTGGTTTGGTGCAAAGTAACGCAAGATAGCAGTCAGTGATTTGGGGCGATTTCCTATTAAGCCTCGTGAACTCAGAGTCAACGTAACCCCAACAGCCGGTCAGAGCAAAAGTAAACTATCACAATGAAATAAAAAATAAGACCCTCGTAAAAAGAAACTTATATATTACCAAAGATGGACACCAGCATTTCCAAATCCGACACCAGCGTAAACACTTGCCAAGTGCATATTGGATCGTGCTTCCAGGTCACTCGCGTCCTTAATTGATCTAATGAAGACAAAAAGAGGTTATCTGAACACGATTTTCAGTCGAGTGTCCGCTGTGCTGAAGTACGCGTTTGAACTTAATCACAACAATTACAACAGCCAATCACAACTAATGTAACATACAATATGAACCAATCAGACCTCAAAGTGCACACGTGACCTATGCCAAGCGCGGGATAATTGAACAGACGCTGTGATCCAGTTGCGTGGTAAGAAAGATCAATCTCAAAATGAATTATCGCAAAGTCGAAAAAACTCTGAACAATTTTTGGGATACTATTTAAGAAAGAGGGCACGAGGTTCTCTTTTTTAATTTTTTAATTAGTTTCTCGTTTTTTCCCCTCGAATTCTTCAGCGTTTCATTTTCGGTGTAACTATCCTCTCCGTTTTTGGGTGCTTTTCGTTTGAAAGGCCGTCGGTTTTCGGTTGTCGTGAAAAATTAATTAAGCTCAGTGGTATTACGGTCTTGATTGCAAGCCTCGGCGGTTTTTTCGGTCCTGGCGGGGATTTCGGCCAACTTCTTGGACAAAAACCAGGAGTATTAAGTATTAGTATGTTACCTTTTCAAATATTTAGCGACAATACCGAGAGCGTGTTTGGACCAAACATCACTGACAGGGTTACTGCCCTGGTACGCTGGCCGCATGTTGGGGTTTAGAGGGCGTGGTCCTCTCTTCTGATAAGGTATGGCTGTGTATGACTCGATAGCATGACTATAAAGAACAAACAAGCACAGAAAATGAATAGGTAAATACATGAAAAAAACATGCTATAAGGATAAACACATAATCACATGACACTCGAGTTATAAGCCTCAACGGGTAACTCCCCATCCTTCCACCCCTTACAATTAAAAGTCCTAACATTTGTAAGTCTTCTTTAAGTAGACTATCCAAAAAGATATTTTCTTACGAATCCCAGCTTTCTGAACCGACTATACTTTACGGCTGTTCACCCAAAGTTATCAGCCCACCCAAAACTCCTTACAAAATCACATAAGCCCAAAGATTATGAATTAAATGTTACGATATCCCTTTATAACTATAGTATTTCTTTAGATCTCAAGCAAAAGTTGGGGACTGTGGATTCTTTGGTAACTCTTACCACAATACGTCATAGCCACTGTTAGCTGTTAACCTCTCAGACATGTGCAGGGTATGTAGTGGATCCACAATGCCTAGCGTTGGACGTATGGCTCTGTTTGCAATACCTGAAAAATGACGATCAAATAAACAGGATGTAAGTTGAGGAAAAATTTTCCTTACGTTGCGCGCAGTGAAACATTTGATCTCGTTGTAGCTCAAAGATTGAATGTCGAAAAACCAACACCAAAAATAACAGAACAGCTGGGCGGAATAAAGGTGGAATGATAAAGGGTGATGGACCTCGTCCGTGTCTGTTTAACATATAGATTCCACGCTTGTCTGTTTAACCCTTTAACTCCCACAAGGATTAACATGGAACTTCTCCCTGTAATATCTATACATTATTCTGCAAACAGGTATTGGGAAAACTCTATCTTATCAGGTAGAAGTTGTTACCTTGATCTAACACTAAATTCTCATAACTTATTTACAAGGAAATGTCCTTGCAGCTAGAGGGGAGAATTAACAATCAGATCTTGGGAGTTAAAGGGTTATTTAACAAACAGATTCCATGTTGCTGTGCATCTGTCCAGTAATAGATCACAGATGACGTGTACGACCTAAAAAGAAACAAAAACGACGCAGCCGATTGTGTGATGTTGCTAGCACATTCTGAGTCTTTTGTGATCTATTACGGCGCAGATCCACGGCAACATAGAATCTTCGTTTTATATGATATGAAAAATGTCATCGCTGGGTCTGTCCTCCAATAGATCATAAGTAAGATAAAAAATGCGCTTATAATTTAGCTTATCATCAGTTCTAGATCACAGATGACGTAAGAGTGTGGTAAGAACAAAAAGCAGCACACGAGAAGAAGTAATCCAGCATTGCATATTGCATTGGTTTTGCTTTCCCTTGCCATGTGACTGGTCCAAAAAAACTCGCTTCATCCTCTCCACCAGTCAGGTTCAAAACTAACCCAAATCGTAAATTGGCCACTCGCGTTTTCCCGCGCTTCAGGCAGCTAGCTTGTTTTTCCTTTCCATTCTAATTGGATACTTGCGCTATCTTCCTTTCTCCTGATTGGCTGTCGTGATTACGTTTTACGACACGCAAACGTTATGTACTCAAAGAAATGCGCTGAAATTGTAATACCTGTTTTTGCATTCATGGGCTCGTAGTCAAAAATAGCCACTCCTGTCGTTTCACTACCTATAACAGGTTAATAACAAAAGTGTATCGTTAAAGAGAGAGGATATACAAGACTGTTTGTTAAAAAAAGCTTCAACTATGAATGATCTTAAGATAAAGTCTTCAACTTCAAAAATGATTTGAACCCAGGAGTAACATTTGATTGTGTCGTCTGATCATCCGGGTCAGAGGAGTCCTGGGAAGGACTGTTGTCAATGGTTGTGACAGAAGTTTGCTTGACAACCTGTGTGGAAGTCATCATCAGAAGTCAAGGATGACTTCCACTCAGGTTATCAAAACATCAGTCACGTCTACCAACTGCAGACAATCCATTCAGACAATCACACCACATGAATGTCCCTTCAAACAGTTCTTGAGTAAGGAGATTTCAATGCTGTTTAAGTCTGCCTTCCAAAGCCTTAACTTTGAGTTTTAAAACCCAAAATTATCCCCAGGGTACTAATGATGGCAGCTCCATAGATGTGATTCACTGCTCTATCTGGAGGTTGGTAAGGGAGGGGCTGGAAGGGTAGGGGGCTTCAGGTATCTCACTACTGACAATGTTTTTGCACTCAACCCTCTCTGAAATTTTGGATCCACCAAGGAGTGGTATTTAATACAAAACCCCCTACCAATTAGCAAATCATATAACTTTCTGGTTATGAATCCAACAACAATTCCAAAATAATCCAATTTATTTACCTGTTCCAGCAGTAGTTGGGACTGTGGATTAAATCACACATCCTTAATCAGCAATAATTTTAAACCAAGATAAAAAATATTTATTGAAAAGGGAAGGTTTGCTTTTCAAAAAAAAATCTGTTAGCTTGACTTACATATAGATTTTAAAATGGCATAAAACAATGATTTGGCTGAAAGTATACGGCCAAAAATTGATTTTTAAAAAGGGTTTAAGTCTGAGTCTGTGGGAGTTTTGAGCTCACAAATTTGAGTAAGCAAGCCTACAGAATAGGCCACCTTATTAAATTTTTTTCTCAGGTGAGTAGACTCAAGGTCTGGGCAAGATTGACCAAGTTGCTTGTTCTGTAGGCTTAAAAGTTAGCAATGTTAGATGTACAAGACCTGGTACAGAAATTTTTAATCCAGTCAGATAATTAAAAGTAAAAAATATAAATAACATCCTTACTCATATTTAGCCCACTCACTTGCTATAAGTGGTTTTAAAGGCTTGTCAATAGGCATTCCTTTACCAACAGGTGCATTTACAAAATCCAGGAAATCATTCTCTGGATGGCAGAGATAAAGGTTGGCTGCTTTGGCAGTGTCAATCACAGAGCCGCCACCGATGGCCAGGAAAGAATCGAAATTACCCTGCTTGGCAAAGTCAATGGCAGCCTTGAAACTGGAGAAAACAAAGGAAAACAAAAAATAAGAAATACTGAATAATAATCAACCAGGGAACAAAACTGGTCTCCAATGAATCTGCAGGTTAGTTTATCTCACAGACACTTGTCCACTGATAGTGGACAAGTGCTACTAATTATCAATGAATTTTTAATATTACATTATCTATAATAGCTAGCTGAAAGAACACTTACCTGGAGTCAGTTGGCTCAATTCTAACTTTGTCGAAAAGTTCATATTTGATTTTGTTGGTTTCGAGGGATTCAATGGCTTCCTTGACAGGAGGCAGAGTCACCAGCTAAACAAAAGCCATTAGCTGATCAAGATCACCACACTATTTTTCTACTTGTGTAATAAAAATCGCTTTTAAGTGTTGTAACACGCAAAAATTTACTAAAATTTATTGACATCATACTCATGCTAAAGCTCTAGATAGATAGTTTCTTCCAGTTACTTCTGGATTTGCTTGTATTTTCCAATAAGTCTTCAGTTTATTTGATAAAACAGTCGATATCATTTGGTGAGGGAGGTTAAATTCATTCCCAAATCTCTTATTTTCAACAAAAAATTGTCAATTAGTAACCAATTACCAATTAATCATAACCACGACAATTAGCAAAAACAACAAATACATTTAGGACAAATACAGTATCTCTGGTAAAGATAATGTCTAAAGTAAAAAATTCCTCCATCTTAACATTCCCCAGTTTTTCTTCAGGATAATGTGGTTGTTGCTACGGTTATTATGAGCACTGCTGTGATTGGTGGATTAAACTGTGTGGACTTAGTGTGATTGGCTGCTTCAACTGCCTCATTAAAGGTGTTCAATTACAGCCAACTGTCCCATTACACTGTGCGATTACAACTGTAAAGAATGATACCTGAAGAATAAAATAGCTGATGCACCAATCACATTTGAGAAAATTATAACAGTTATGATTAATTTATTTACACAAAATATAATACACAGCATAATCAATTCCTCTACCTTTTGATCTGTGATCACACAAACTTTCTCCAACCTGCGGTTTTCAAAGTCCTGTTCAAAATAATGCAGAATGAATCACATCTTTGCTATAATATCAAGTACAATCATGCTCACAAAGAATTCTGTATTTCAGTATAATTATTCTTGGTTCAAAGCTTAATCTATCTACCTTCCTTTGCGAACGAGTGTCTCAGGGAGCCACAAAAGGGTCATGTTAGAAAATAAAAAAATTTAAATATAATTTAAACAAAGGATATAAAGTAAAAACACAGTATTAGTGTATAATTGCAATAAGCGACAGCAAACTCACCATGCCAACTTCCCTAGTCACTCCTTCTCCATACCTAATGCTAGAATTTGCCACCTGAAAATAAAACCAAATAAAAAACTAAAAAATCTAAAGACAAAAAAATCAGTTATGTCATTCCTCAAGCCTAGAAGCTCATAAACGTCTGAGTGTGACTATCATTTAATTTCTCCCTACAGGGTAATGAGAATAAAGGAAATTATGAAAATACTAAATAATTTCTTAATTGTTAAAAAGATCCTTCTTGTCAGTGCCATAACATATGTATGCAAAACAGTAGGGAGATTATGTAAACTGATCTAAGCATGTAAGGGGTTAACGCAGCTGCTCATTAAAAACTTATCACAGCTTAGTAACTTTTGATTGGGTATCTATTTCTCCTTATATTCCCAAAGGGCATACAATCACAAAAAGTGGCACAAAATAAAATCTTACAAAATTTTGTTAAGGTTTCACTTAAGTATAGTGAAGTAAACTAATACACTGCTCAATAAATACTGTAAGGTTTTTGCCAACCTCAAAAGCACATTCCGGCTCCACATGATCTTTTGCCGCAGATGATAGTCTTGGTACTAAACAAAAAAAACAAAAGAAGAAGAGGAGAAGGAAGATCAAAACAATTCACAGAAGAAGCGGGTGAATTAGTAAATCGGGCAATTTCTTGATGCAGAACTTTCACATTCCTTAAACATGAAATTACATAGCGAGATTGAAAATAAAAAAATAAAGGCCGAGAGACCCAAGGATAGGCTTGCAAACCTGGTGAGAAGTTTTGAGAGTGAGCAGGGCATCTGCATCTGCAAAAATAGAGCAAAACTAAATGTTTCTGATCATTCTGAAAATTTAGATTACAGAGACACTGAGGTGGTAGCCTTTGAACAGGTTCCAGCCGGAGAGCCTGTTCACATGCTAGGGGGGGGAGGGTGTTGCAAAACACACCCCCATCCCAAATTTTAAGTCCAGTCGAAGGCTTTCTATACCTCTCGCCAAGATAAACAAAATTCTACAGACGTATCATTACGTTATCAATACGAAATTGATGCTCACGATGCTGTCGCAACAAGCCTCATCAAACGTAACGCTTGCTCACGAAGGTTCATCGAAGCCATTGCGGAATGCTTTGTTGATGTTCTTCCAAGCGTTGTAAATAGAACGATCTTCGAAAAAAGACTGAGTTCGAGTTGGTTCGAGTACCAAGATGGCGGTTTCGGCCTGGCTACAAAGTATGAA